AGCATTACCACTTCACCACCCGGGTTGTGCCGGGCGCCCTCAGGGCGGCGCCCAAAGGTTGGTCCGATAGGATTCGGATAAGGTGTGCCTGTAAGTAGTGTGTCAACTTCTTGGCAGTGATGTAGGCAACATATATTGTCTTCTCGAGAGGGGTGTACCAGAGCTCAGCATTCTGGAGGGTCTTGATTACACAGTAGACGGGATGCTGATCGCCTTCCTCCTTGCGAACCAACACGGAACTGATTGCGCCTTGGGAGACTCCGAGATAAAGGATCAGCGTCTCCCCCCTCTCCGGCTTGCTGAGTAAAGGCTCATAGAGGAGGTACTTCTTCAAGTCCTCAAAGGCTTGCTGACAATCATCATTCCAAACGAAACCGTTCTGTTTCTTCAGGACCTGGAAGAAGGGTATGTACTTCTCGGTGGACTTGGACATGAAGCGTTCGAGGGATGCTGAGAATCTGGATTTCTTTCACCGATTTGGGAGGTTCCATGTCAAGTATTGCCCTTGCCTTCTCGGGATTTGGCTCAATCCCCCTCCGTGTGACCATGTACCCCAGGAACTTGCCTCCCTGGACAGCAAAGGTACATTTCTTCGGATTCAGGCGCAGTCGGACTGCCTTCATGATCCCAAAGATCTCTGCCAAGTCATCTGCATGATCGAACGCCCGAGTGCTCTTGATGATCATGTCGTCAACGTAAGCCTCCATGTTCCTTCCGAGCACCTTTGGGAATACCTTGGCCACCATCTTCGTGTATGTCGCCCCAGAATTTTTCAGCCCGAAGGCCATGACAAGATAACAAAAAATACCCTCTGGGGTGACGAAAGAGGTCTTCTCCGCATCGTCTTCATGCATGAAAATTTGATGGTATCCTTGAAAAGCGTCCATGAAGCTAAGGAGCTCACATCCGGCTGTCCCATCGACTAGTTGGTCGATGTTAGGCAATGGGAATGAATCCATCGGACATGCCTTGTTGAGATCACTGTAGTCAACACACATCCTCCAGCTGACCCTCCTCATACTTCACGGCTTTGTTGTTGATGGTGTGGACCCTCTAGTCTTTCTGACCGATTTGTTTGCAAGCTTTCAGATAGCAGCTCCTCGCCATCTGCTGGTCTCCCCTAGCAACTCCGACGCCATTAGGAGTAGGGAACTTCATGCATAGGTGCTCCTGGGATATCACACATCTGAGGTCTTCAAGGGCCGACCTACCCATGATGATCTTATGCGCACAACTTAGGCGTACGATGATAAACTCGACGTCTAACTTGGATACACAAGGCTCGGAGCCCACCATCACGGGGAGGACTATGCTGCCCTCCGACTCAATGGAGTCCCTGGTGAAGCCCGAGAGTGGGGTTCTTACCGAGATCAAGTCCTTTCGGTCCAAGTCAAGACCCTGTAAGGTGTCATAGTACATGATGTTAACGGAGCTCCCATTGTCCACCAGGACTCGGTGGACGATGGTGTTGTTGATTTCGACCTTGATCACCAAGGCATCCCTATGCGGTGGAGGCATCGATGGCAAATCTGCGTCGGTGAAGAAGATGGGACCCCTCTTCACCCTCTTGTCAGCGGGAGCCCTGCTTATCTCCCCAATGTACAAGGCTTGAGCCCATTTCTTTTGTTCTCCAGAGGTGTCGCCTCCCTGGGGTCCCCCGAATATGAACGAACATCGATGGTACTTCCGGGAGCCGTTCCCTAGGTCGGCATCGTCTTCCTCGGAGAAGGCGTCGAGCTCTCGCTTCTTGGCAGACTGTTTCTCCTTTGACGTGGTAGCTTGGTTGGACCGCTGCCACGCCAGGCTCCTCTTCTGCGGGGTGCCTCCTTGTTTGCCAACGAATTGGCCCAGATACCCTTTCTATATGAGTTCTTCAATTTACCGTCGGAGAATGGCGCAATCATCTGTATCATGCCCTGCTCTCCGATGGAATCGACAATATTGGTCGTGGTTGCACTTTGGTGGTCACCACATCACACTCCACTAGAAATTCGACTAAACCTTGCTCCTCCGCGTAGTCGAGGATGGCCTCGACCGGTTGAGCAAGTGGAGTCAAATGCTTTGATGGGCAGGAGTTGTCCGCTCGGGACGTCCACCTTGCCCTTGCCTTAGCTTTTGTTACCTTTGTACTTGTTTTTGCTGCCAGCTTTGCCATCAGCTTTCCCAGCACCAAACCAGATTCCTTCTTCTTCTCTTCTTTTCCGCCTTCTTCCTCATCTCTTTTCCTCTGCAAGGCGTCCTCCGCCTTGGCTTGGCGGTCAGCACAACCGAGTGCCTCCTCGTACGAGGTAGGGGGACTTCTAACGAAATCTTTGTAAAGCTCGCCAGACCGGATAGAGTTTGTGAGCATGGCCACCCCGGTCCTATCATCAAGGCCCTGAACCTTGACTGACTCGGCCATCCACCTTGCTAAGAAATTGGACAATGATTCCTTCTTTCCCTATATTAGGCCGAAGAGGTGGCTGAAGTTTTTCTTGACGTCTCGGGAGCTCGCAAAACTCAAGAGAAAGCGTTGAGCCAACTCACGAAAGTTGTGATACTCCCGTCGGGCAGAGAGTCATACCATTCACGAGTCGGGCCATCCAAGGTAGCAGAGAAACCGCAGCATCAGATGGCGTCCTCGTACCCCATCATCACCATATAGGAAAGGTATCGAGATACACGATGTTGGGGTCAGAGGTTCCCTTGTACGTTCGATGGTGCAAGGCTTGTATCCCCTTGGCAACGACGCATCTATGACCACCCGGGTGAAAGGTTCGGGTATTCGGGGATTGGTCGTGTAGGGCTCCACCCCCCCCCCCCCCCCCCCCGACGACCCTTCTTTTCAACTCATCGAGGCGTTGTCGTAGATCTTCCACCTCGCCCGGCTGTGGGTTCCCTCGGACAGCCCCAACGCGGGGCTGGGCATGTCCAGCGGCACATCCAAGTCGTCCGTGCACGTGAGGTCGGGGCCCCACGTTTTGCCTCTCTAGGGAGCCAGCCCGACTGCCCGCCCAGTGAGAGTGGCGAGAGGACTCGCCTCCCTCCATTTGCATTGAGCGCCCTTGCTGGGCGCCCCTCCCAGCCTGCCGATGGGACCGACTAAGCTGCTGAGAGACTTCTTCCCTTCTGTGTTGGTTTGATCCGGAACGTCGCTCGTCACGCCGCCTGGAGAACACCTCCATATCTGTCGGCGTCTATTGACGAGCAGGCTCATCCACGTTTCCTCCAGACACCATCTGCTGGAAACCTTGAGACAAGGCCCCCAGAACTAGAACCGGGTCCATGCGCGGAGCATGACATCGCCCCCCCCCCTTTGGCTGCGGATCGAGCGCTCACCCTGGGTTTGGTTGAGCGTCGCCCTTAGGTCGTCGTGGCCTGACAACCGGTTCCTAAGGTCTCCTCGGCACGCCACCCCCTTGCCTTGTCCATGGTTGTCGGGGGCACGCTAGCGGCCAGACCTGGTGGATTCCTTGGTGTGGACTGAGACATGGTCACGTCGGGATGAGATTCCGGCCATCTTCCTTCTTGTTTCCTACTCGAGCGATGTGAGATACAATAGAGGCTCTCAATCAAAGCGCCAATGTTGGTCCAAAATAGGACGCTCGTAGGCTTTTAGGAAAGCTACATACGACACTCAACGAGGAAATAGGAAAGCAAGAACGAGAATGGAAAGTAGCTAGGAGATTTAGTTGTCAGAAATAGCATGTCTATCATTTGAATCAGACTTGCCTTTTATAGGCGATTACAAATGGTAACTGCCAAAGATACTAATGGCTAATTAATTACAACATTAATACAGAATTAAATACATAATTAAGTTGTGCATTAATTGCTCTGACCGTTACTATTCTTGGCTGGCAGGTCGGCCTGGCTAGCGCTTGAGCTCCCTCTTGCTTGACTGGACGACAGGCTCCCCGCTCGGCTGAAGGCAGGCTGCTCGTTGGGCTGGAGGCAGGCTGTTGTCCAGGATGGAAGGCAGGCTCCCCACTGGACAAGAAGGCAGGCTCCTCACTAGGCCAAAAGGCAGGCTTCCGGTTGGGTCGGTAGGCAGACCATCTCGGGCTTCCGCTCTTTGATTGGCCTGGTCGGTTGGGCCGGCTCGAGCTCTGGATTGCTAGGCTTGGGCCTGCTGGTCCAAGTTCAGGGCCTGAGTCGATTAGGCTCTGGGCCTAGTCCCATAACCCCATCAGAAGCATTATGTTTAAATTAACCATTTGTATTTTTTCATTTCATATTTTTTTATATATCTAAAAATATACTAAAAATAAATATACAATTTTTATGTAACTATTTTTATTAAAGTTACTAATTACACTTTTTATATCTGTAGTAATATAAAAATTACTCATATATAAGAATTAAAATATAAAAATGATAACTACATATTTCTTTTTATTTATTGTAAATATATTGTAGTCTTTTTACGTATTATATATAAGAATTAATTTCTTTTAGTTTATATTTTATTTCTTGATTTAGAATTTACCAAAAAAATATAAATATTTTATATTTTCGACTTGTTTTTTATTCTATTTTTTATTTTCTATTTTCATTCTTTATTTCTATTTTTCATAATTTTGACGTTTTTAAGAGTTGAGGGAGGTGAATTAAACGATTTAATCAGGTTCAGTGGCTTATTTGACAACTTAAGTTGCCACGTCACATGCACAGTTGAAACCCTACCTGGTGATGTGGCAGTGACCAAATTATGACCTGCAAAAAGCAAAATTTGAATCTTTTTATCGAATTCAGGGTGTCAATTGAAGGTTTTTTGAGTTCGGGGGGCAAATTGAGCGATCCAGAAGGGTATAGGGCGTATTTGACCCTTTAGCGTATAGAAATTAATGGTGCATTAGGGCTGTAATTAATTTCTTTTCCATGCCATCATATATATACGAAAGGTTTGACATTAAATTAAATCCCTATGAATCAAAGAGTTAGGTTTTATCTAAAACTCCATTTTATGTGTGCATGTTGGGTGCAAGTTTTGTGCATACATAGTAGCAAATACAAAGTTTGCAGGATATTTCATGCTTTCTAACTTTTAAAGAACTCAAAACAAGTCAAGCATTCAACAACAATTATGTGATAAGTTATATGCGCTAGATTGTTAGAGCATTGTCCATATAGTGCTCATTTAAAACACCATATTGAGATGTTTTCACATAGCTATTGTAGATCTAGAAAGTTGTCTCAGTGCATTAGCAATCTCTTCTGCCTTTGCATCCCCCCTTATATGGGAAACTAAGGAACTTTCTTGTGGAACTATGTCCTCTCTGTGCATGTAACTTCCTAATGTTCTTATTAGCTCCTCCGATCCTTTCTCCACGGCCCCCTTCAATATCAAGGTTTTGTGGCTCCCGACTATCAATTCTTCATAGTCTGTGTCTCCAGTTTCACCAAGAATCACGTACATATTGGCCACATTTACTCTCCAACGTACAAACAGGTACCTAAACATATATTTTGTTACTATAAATTATATTTCACACGTAACAAATAAAGATTTATATTCGGGTGATATCTACATATAATTTCATACTAGTATTAGTTACTTTTTCTTAATTAGGATCATACTGGTTAAAACAATCGATAAGAAGTTATATTTTTTCTGTTAAAGTTATATTATTGTTACTATATATCAAATATATTTCTCCCTTGATAAATAAAGATTTATTTTTAGGTGATATTTTCCCTACATAACTATATACTACGTACATAAAGTATATTGTAAGATTACCTAAGTGCTTGAGCTCGAGAAGCAAGAAGAGGAATGACTTGCATCCTTGTTGAATTCCGGCAGCACATCAGATGGCAACGTAGGCCTCTCATTCTCAGCTTCTGTATCATGTCATCTACTCTCTTTGCCTATAAGATCAGCATAGAAAATGTTTTAAGTTTTTTGCAATTATGTCATCACTTAGTGTTTCTTTTTGTTCTTGAAATACGTACAAACATATGTAAATGCATATGCATGTATATCACCTTACTCAGATCCTTTATCAAGTAGGAGAAACAATGAATATTGCTTCTTGAATTTAAACTCTCTTCAATATAAGTAGGTGATTCAGAATTTTCAACTCCTGTACTGATTAGTTTCCAAAGAGTTTTCTTTAGACCATCACCACCCCATCGATATTCAATATGTGTGGCATAATCAGGATCTGGAATGGGCTTTCCATCAGCTTCATTACTGGCGTTGGGATAATAAACTTCACTGCCACTACTACAAATTAAGACATCAAAATCAGTGACTTTAAGATTCCCTGATTTCAGAAACTCTATCAACTCTGACACCGGCATGGCAGTTGATATAGCAAACCGGCCTGGTAATCTTGCCATCTCTGAATCAATGTTAATAGCTTTGAAGACCTCTTGGATGATGCTAATCATTTTCATTTCCGGGTTTCCCTTAGAGTCATAACAGTCCAGAGCTAAAACAATCAACTTATGTTGTTGTCTCAACATCGGGTATTTGTTGACAATATTGTCTTTCCCTTCACCTTCATAGTGATTCTGATGAGTGATTCCAACATCTGGTTTCTTTATTTTGGTAAGAACCCGCTCAACCTGGTCTTGTAGATCTTGGGTATCAACGACTTCAGTTTTCGTATCAAGATATTCATTAAGTGACACAGTTTTCTCACCATCAGCTGATAATCTCAAGGACAGGTCCTTTACATCTTTGAGTGAGTCATTCAATGACTCTTTTGCAGCCAGCTCCTCTGTCAGGGTGTTTGTCTTCCACTGTGGGTGTCTCATGCGACAGGCGGCTATCCTTGTCAAGTATGTGCGACAATGTTCCGGCCATGAAAAGAGGTGTATGTTCTTCCAACCTCTTCTGCGATACTCCATCCACAAGTTCTTTTCTGATACTAGCTTTAGAAGGGCATCAGCAATTGCTTTATGATCATGAGGGTCAACGAGCACACCATTATGTAGTACCTAAGAACATAAAGAAGTTGATATCATAAGTAGTTGATATATATATATAGACTATTTGTAACCCACTTCCTTATATAAATTAAAACAGTAAACATGTGTGGTAATCATGTATGAGGAACCAAGGTTGTTATTAAAATCTCGATTTAAATCGTAAAATCGTACAATTTTATGATTCTACATTAAAAAATCGATTCAAATCCCGGGTAAAATCGTAAAATCATAAAATCGTAAAAAATCGTACAAAAATCGTGTAGACTCGTGTAGAATCGTTTAAATCATAGCAAAAATCGTAGCAAAATTTAAACAAGTTTCTTTTTATTAGTGAAAATGGTTGAAATATACTCCGTATTAAAATTAAATACTACAAATTGATACATAATTACAAAAATAATACCAATAGTATATTTAAAAAAGTAATGGATTTTTGTGTTATTTAATTATGTTTATGTTTTACATATGTTTAATGTTATTATTCACTACATTTACATTATTAAAATAGTTTATAAGTCTTGATTTGTGATATGCACTAATTAGTAGTGCATAAATGTATATTTTTATGTTTGATTTATGTGTATTGTTTATCATTTTAAACAATGATAAACAATGTTCAATAGAGTAAAAATAGTTATTAACAACGACCGTTCATTAATAACTCTTACTATTAATCAGATATAGAACAACGTCTTATACCGATTTAATAGTAGCATTTAATCTTTCTAACTCCTTGATGAAATCAATTGAGATTGATAACCTCAACACAACGGTTTCGGTTTAACCAACAAAATTAATCCCTCTTAAGTTTATTAACCATGACCGTGCATTAATAAACCGAAGTTACTTACTTGTGAAACCATCAACGATTAACCATCGGTTTGTTGATCGTTTCTAGTAGTAATTAATATATGAAACAAAACTAGTTGATCCTTTAAGTAATGTTCAAAATATTAATATGAAATATGAATAGGAATTAATTAATATTCAAGGAAGAATATTATTAAAGAAGATGAATCCTACTATAATTAATATCAAGATGTTAACTAATTGTCATCTTAGCAACACTCTCCAACATTAATATAGAGGAAGAAAATACCATTCTAACTAATGTCGAGATGTTAACTAATTGTCATCTTAACAACACTCCCCAACATTAATATAGAGATGGTATTAAGGAAAGAACTATTAATTAATATTCAAGGAAAGAAGTTAAGAAAATAACTCACAACTTTAATAATCAACAAGCTTCAAGAGCAACACCAAGAATGGAAGTTTAGCTCCTCATTTGGAGACTAAACATAGCTAGAAAAATATAAAGAAATGTTATTCTAAACTGAGCTTAAGAGTATGGAAGAAGGAATGATTTTTAGAGAAGAAAAAGTGTGCTATTTATAGGTGTTTTTCAACACCTTTGGCCGGGTACCCGAAAGGGTCAAGTACTTACCCGACCGGGTCCGGTCAAAATCAGATAATCCGCCACGTTCTGGTGATCTTCGCACGTCGTTTTGTCCCGGGTCACATCTGACCCGACCGGGTCAAGTAGGGAACCCGACCGGGTCCAGTGACTTTCTTGGCAATTTCGTCCATTAAATCATACCCGATCGGGTGGGGGTTTCTACCCGGTCGGGTTTTACTCCTAGGCAGTCAAATTTCTTGTTTTCTTCTCTTCAAAGTCTTCCTTTCCAACACCACAAATCCTAACTAAACTTTACTAACTTATAAATAAAGACTAAAATAACATTACAAGTAAAATCACATAAATGCTTACAAACGAAATAAAACGTCAAACAATCAACATAAAACAAACATAAAAATATATAATTATGCACTACTAATTAGTGTGCATCAAACACCCCACACTTAAACCTTTACTCGTCTCGAGTAAATCAAATCCGGTCCAAGAAGTCCTTAAAATGACAAGAATATCAACACACACATCCACGAGTGTTTTTAGAAACACATAAAGTATATCCCCAAAAATATAACAGTAAAGAGGGTCTTCAACTCCATATTTCTTGATCAACCTCAACCCCCTTTTTTTTGCATTACCCTTAGGATCCTGCAGAAATAAAAGAAAATACTTTCTCTCGTTCTCTCATTTTGCCTAGATGCCCTTTCGGGTTTTTATCCCAGCTTCCCACATTTTTCTGTTTTAATCCTCACAACTCACTCTTATTTTTGCTTTATTTTTGCTTAAGTTGCCCTTTCGGTTTTTCAACTTAACAAGCTTTTATAATTTTTTTTACAAGAATAAAGGATATGAATGTGAGTATTCCATAAAACTCTCCCCCCAAGCTAATCAAAGCACTGTCCCTAGTGCTTGTGTCTGAGATGAATGTGTTTTTTTGGGAGGTTTTGTTGGTGATTCATGGGTGTGGAGATGAAAAGGGTGAAGAGGAGATGAATGAAATGGGTTTAATTGATGGATGAATGTAGGAGATATGAAGCTTTTGACTTTTGGAAATGGAGGAAATTTGGGATTTGGTTTCCAAAAAAAATCGAGATACCCGGCCGGGTGGGGTAGTGTACCCGGTCGGGTGTTTCATTCCAGGGATCGGGTTATGATATTTCCCATTCACCCGGTCGAGTTTCTTCTCCCAGGGGTGGCAGTAGCTCCCTTTTGTGATAACCCGGTCGGGTTTCATGAAGCACCCGGTCGGGTATATCAAAATTTTTTGTTTTTATTTTCTGCCCCGCCCGGGTGACAGGGTGGGTGAAGTGTTTTGACCTGATACCCGACCGGTTTGGGTAGTGTACCCGGTCGGGTTTGTTTCCCAGTTTTTTTTTCGAAATGTGTAAAAATAAAATAAAACAAGTAAACGTACCTTGCATGGGTTGCCTCCCAAGAAGCGCCTTATTGAACGTCGCGGCACGACGCCATCATTGTGTTCAGTCATTCAAACTTGGATCATGATAGTTTATCTTTTTCACACTTTCACTCCTGGGACGTTCATAGGAGTGCTCAACTTCTCGACTCTTCAATTTGGGAATCTTTCCAGGATCAAATATCCAGATTGTCATTGATTCATGCAGTAGGAGGAAAGAGAAGAAATTGTCGTTTACTATGGTCAATGAAAAGTTTTTCGATCCCTCAATTTTGAAGAGGATTTCAGAAATGTCATTGTTGTTTCCAAGTTTATGAGTTTCCCTCAAATTTTTTAGAATTGATGGGGGTACCTGAAAAGATGACAAGGATAGATATTTGACCTTGAAGCTCAGATTATCCTCTTCTTTGATCAGTTAGAGCTCTGTGTCTTTTTCTCCCTCTACTTTTTCTGGATTCTGGATCTCCTTTTGCATTTCCTTTTCTTTTGTCAATGTGATTGCAAAAGTTTGCTGTTTAGGATCGCATTCTATTTGAGAAGGAAGTTTTTCCGAATCCCTTGCTTCAAGCCTACTCACGGCTCCAGCTATTTGACTCATTTGAGTTTCCAAGTTTAAAATGCTAGACTTGGTCTCATTTTGGAATTGCACCATGTTGTTTTGCATGGTGGTCACGTTGGTAACAATAGAGAACGTTCAATTGAGATTGCATTAATAACTCAATTGCTTTAGTGCATAAATGTATATTTTTAGCATAAGTGCATAATATAAGATTAATTGCACCATGTTAATCATTGTTTTAGCTTTAGTGCATAAATGTATATTTTTATGTTTGATTTATGTGTATTGTTTATCATTTTATTTAGTTTGTAAACATTTGTGTGATTTTAGTTGTAATTGTATTTTAATCCTCATTTGTAAGTTGTAAAGTAGAATTAGGAATTATGGTGTTGAAAAGGATGACTTTGAAGTGAAGAAAAAGGAGGTTTTACTGTCCAGGAGCAAATGCCCGACCGGGTAGAAGACTTCACCCGGTCGGGTCTGATTTAACAACCGAAATTTCAATGAAAGAGCTGGACCCGGTCGGGTCAGACTTGACCCGGAACACCAGAACGTGCCGAAGATCACCAGAACGTGGAGAATATCTGATTTTGATATTTACCCGGTCAGGTATGTCCTTTTACCCGGTCGGGTATCCTCCCTAGGGTGTTGAAAACACCTATAAATAGCACACTTTTCCTTCACTTTTAAGAATCCCTTCTTCCATATTTGTTGAGGTTATCAATCTCAATTGATTTCATCAAGGAGTTAGAAAGATTAAATGCTACTATTAAATCGGTATAAGACGTTGTTCTATATTTGATTAATAGTAAGGGTTATTAATGAACGGTTGTTATTAATAACTACCCTCGATGAAGTGGATATACTCTCCGATTGAGTATTCGAGAGGGAATAAGTTATAGATATAACAATGATCGACTAAAATATATCAACAAGTGGAAAGTAGCAATGCCAAGTCCTTTTTATCTTTGAATTAAACACATATAGGTTGTTCATCTTAGTTCTTAATTAAATTAAAATCACTCAATCCAAATCCCCCCTTTTTATTTACTAAGTATCATAGAAAGAGAATTATTCCTTTCCCTGTGGATACGAACTCTACTACGCTATACTACGTATAAGTGTTTAGTATTGAATTTATTTTGACGCACCGTGACAAAGTGCTCGTCAATTTGGTCCTTGTAGGTATAGTTTTATCATAATATTAATATTTAATGATATAATACCATTAACTTGAAGCTTAATAATATTAATATTTATTTATTTTATAATTATTAAGATATGTTTGACAAAATGTTACGATTTGTGATTCGATTTTACGATTCGATTTTCAAAAACATCTACCGATTCGATTCAAAAATACGATTTGAACAACCTTGTGAGGAACAAAAGGATGTGACCATGTAAAAAGTGACTTCAAATAATTTTATAATTGGTAAATGGTACTCTTAGGATGAATGGAATGTGGTATTACCCGAATAATATCAACCGGGCCGCCATTTTTAGTTGCCACCAGAGGGAGTCCATGTGCTGCAGCCTGCAATATTTAAATTAAATATTAACAAGTTATTAAACTAGGTAAGACTTTAAGGAGGTGGTCATGTTGCATGATGTGCAAGTATGAAATATAGGCAATACTCATCATGCATTAGGACATGAATATGATGATGATGATGATGGGTTTGGGAAAAAAAATATGATATTTATGTTTGTTTGTTATTGCATGAAACTGTAGTGTTAAATAACTTTAGGCAATTAGTAAACACTATAAATTTCATGGAACCAATCCAAACATAGTATGGAAAATGGTGATGATAATGGTGATCAAACTTTTTGATGAGAGAGAGAGAGAGAGAGAGCAGACACATGACAAACCTCAATCAGTGTAAGTCCGAAAGGCTCAATGAAAGCTGGGTTTATAAACACCCCCTGCAATTTAATTAATGATTAGTTTCATCTTAGCTTAAAAGGAACTCCAGAAAAAGTAAAGGTACAAGCTAGCTATAACTTGGAACCTTTGTTTTGGCTGCAAGGCGATAAATATCAGGGACTTCACTTTGCTTGTGATGTTTTGGGAAGGCTACTTGTCCATAAAGGTCATACTTGTCAATTAGCTTAAGAACTGTTGTGAGCACACTGGCACTGCCAGTGGACATTTCATCTATATCATCCCTGTTTCCCATTATAAGAGTCTGTATTGAAAGCATTCATCATTTCTGTTAACAGTGATTATAAATTTGTCAATCACTACAACATTTAGTACATAGTCATCCTACTTACGAGATTAGCGAGCTCTCGTAGGGGACGACATTCTCCAAATGCTTTCACCAAGGTGGTTAGATTCTTCTTTGGATCTGGCCTTGACAATGCTAGAATCATTGGCTTGTGTGGATTTACAAGAAAACGCATCACCTGCAGCAAGTGTTACCATTGAGAAAAGTGTACATCAAATATATCTAAATGATCACTACCCACACCACTATTAGTATCTATTTCATTATTTCTAATATTAATGCTTTGATATGTTCATTTTGATAGTAATTTGATACTATAACAAGTATATGCAGGAACATATTTTTTTTAATTAGTTAGAATAGAATAAATAATTAATCGGAAAACAGTGGATATAAAAGAAAATTTGATTGAATAGAATGTATAAATCATTGCTGACCTCTGAAAATATACAAGGCATTGCTTTAGGAGATGACCCATCAGAGGTAGTAAGTGAAGAAAGTTCAACATCCATTTCAGTTGCCTCTTCTTGAACAACCACGTTGCTGAAGTCCATTCCAGGAGGAATAACCTACAAGATTATGCCAATCCACTATTCATATGTAGTAAGATAATTAAACTTGAAGGAATTCAATTACATGAGTTCGTGTAATCCCATGGAGAGAAGAAACACTAATCTTGATATATAATTTTGTTGATGGTCAAATTTCTAATAGAATTAGAAGACCACTTTTTCCCAATGTTGCTAGAGGAATGTAATTAATGTTTTTAGTACATCTATGTGCCATTAAAATAATTTTGGAAGGATTCTACTGTTAAGTTTCAAGCAAGTAGGCAGCGGCTATGTTGCACGGAAACACGAAAGTCTTGAGGAAATGGGAAACGTGAAACGTCTCAAAAAAAGCATGTTTAGAGAGTTTCCAAAGAGTTTCCGTAGAATTTTCGAAACAGAAACGTGCACTTTCTCGAGAGTTTCCGTGCTACGTAGGGCCGGCAGCGGAACTTAATTACCTCCATCCTAGGCATATAACGACCATGACAATTGACTCCACGTCTGGCACGGGCCCTCAAAACTTTCTCGATTTTGACATCAAACCCATCATATAGCCCCCATTGTTCATCAATTTCTTGCCTAGTGCTCGTGATAACAAGTTCAGCCGCGTCAAGAGAAAGCTCTTCTGCCTCAATCCTCCGCATTATTCGATAAGTGGAGTTAATATCCTCTTTGGACTGCCTTCCCTGTTTCAAAAGCTGCTCAAGCTTGTTTCTTCCGAGTGAATGTCCAGTCAGAACCATGGGAACATTTAAAGCACCAGAAAGAAGAGCAGCACTGTCCCCAGCATCAGCATAATGGCCATGAATCACATACGGCCAAATAGGTTCCTGTTTCCCAATTTGTTCACCCAATGTCTTGGACACATTCAAGATGTGTGTTAGAGCTCCATCCACAAACTCCTGAATGTGAGGCCACAACACCTCTTTCCTAAGGTATTTGTCGCGAGGACCGAACGGTATTCTTATGATATATGCCCCGCCACTTTCGCCTCCACCATCTTCTTCTGAGGGACGGCCAATGTTCAACATTTCTGCAGGCTCACCATAGCTCGAATCAACTTCAGGTGAGGAAACTTGACGGGTTAACAAATCCACCCTATATACTTCAGGCATTTTGGCAAGTGACTTGGCAAGTTCCACTACGTATTTAATCTGATGAACAAATTATCAGGTGCGGCATTTAGTGTGTGTTCTTTGAAAATACTGTACGTGGTGTATATATATAAATATGTTGCAAGTCACCTGACCACCAGTGTCAGAATCACGGCCAAGCTCCATATTTTCACCACGAACTAAACCATGCAAACTTGTAATAAAAAAGAGATACATGCATGGTAATTAAGTATGTACATTAATAAATAGCTACTTGCATGCATGGATTAGCCGCAATTCAAGTGCAGGTATTTGATTTACACACATACCTTATGAGAACAATATACAACTTCTTTTCCTTACTAGAGTCAGATAATGCTTCCAAAGTGGACAAGTTTCGTTGGATCTTCTTTCTAGGACTATCAAATGTAGTTGTCTCCCCGCCACATACATCTGATCCTTCTGACAAGTCTTCAGACATGTCATCCTCTTTGACATCTTTATGTCCTTGTTCCCGTTCCCATCTCCTAGTTGCTAACCTTTGGATGTCTTCCAATTCCAACTACAAAACAAACAAGTATATATAGCAATTTGATCATTAGTAAATTTTAATACTCTCTGAAAATGGAACAAACACAATTAAGTGTTTTTTGTGTGAGAGCATTCTAGTGAGAGTCTATAAATTGGCATGGAAAGAACCAGCATGCCATTGTTGATGCTCACGACAATAACTACATGGATACTATATGTGTGGAAATTAAATTTGAATCAAGATCGAATATAAAGTAAAATTTAAATAAACAATCCGGTAGCAACCAGCTGCAATTAGACACCCATGCATGTCTTTCTGTTATATACAGATATACTACATGTTCCTTCACTTGATTTTTTGTATAATATACTATAAGTACGTACATAAGCCTTCATTTTATGTCGTATTAATATCAATATTCTAAAAGGCACTAGGTGCCAACAAGCTAAGGGTTTCTCTTTGTTTCATTGTTTTATTTTTATTTCCTATCAATTATAATATTTTTTACAAATAATTTTAGAATAACATTACAATAGAAATAGCTCATTTAATTATTATTTTTTTTGTAAGAAGTTGGTTGCCAGAAGCAAATATGATATGTAAAACAAAATTACTAAATGTTATGTTTTTTAGTAAATTTATCTATGATGAAATAATTAATAATTTTCTAATCGAATAAGAGGTTTGTGTCTTAGCTTTTGGTCCCTAAAAATATAATGTTCAAAAACATTCTTTAAAAAAATTAGACATTTAAAATTTATTTTTATTCTTGGATCGGAGAGAAAGATAAAATTTAGAAATATAATAGTTATTGATCAAATAATGTTTTTAGACAAAACAAAGAAAATAAGTTGGATAGGAAATAAATTTAATTAGGGCCACCTAGGCCCGCACCACATTCCCGGCCTGCCTAGGCGCCTTCTAGGCACCCCCTTCTTTTTCCTAACAATAATCTCAATGAAATCAGGACGTCCGACCACAAGGCAAATTTTAGAACCACGATTAAAATTAATAAAAATTTATTAAAATATCCTACTTTACATCTTCAATCCTAATTATGAGTTTAGGTTTGAAACTTCATGCATAAAACCAAATTAAGTTCAAACTACTTTTGTTTTAACTTAATACATACATAGTAATTAATTATATGATTAATTAATTAAGTGCATGCTGGTATCAATTAATCATTTGATTGATTGATTACCCTCTTCTTCTTACGAGTGAGGTGCCAGATTCGCCAGCACATGTTCTCGAGCCGAGCGCTGCGCTCCAATGTGTTCCTGGTAGCCACCACCTTGATCCATGTCCGGTAAAGGTCGGTCTCATCCACCCCTGTCACAACCTCCTCCACGAAGTACTTGGTCGGATCGAAAATCGCCCTTTCCCCGAGGTTAACCGGAGACGGCTTGTTTTCCACCTCAATCGCTGATGCGCCGCTGTCGAGTATCGCCTCAAGGTACCCGTTAATCCACTCATTTCCGGCCATTTTCGATCAAGAAAATCCAAGAACAAATAAAAAATACAGAGGCCGGGGTGATTTTATTCAGCCAAAAAAGGCGTAATTAGTTGAGAGGAAAGGGTTTTCATCTCAAAATGGATGGTCGATATATATATATATATATATATATATATATATATATATATATATATATATATATATATATATATATATATATATATATATATATATATATATATATATATATATATATATATATATATATATATATATATATATATATATATATATATATATAGTGTAATGAGTTATATATGGATGTGGAGGATAATCATGAGGCATATGTATGTAGTTATGCATGATAGTAGTAGGCAAAAATTGAGGCCCTTTGGAGAAGACGGAAGAAAAAGAGCGAGGATGGTCTTTTTGCAAGTGTACGTGCATGCATGTTCACATCACATGCGTTGTGTGTGATTGTACGTTCTCGTTTTTCTCAATCGGAATTTATGGCTATAATTGAAGAGGTAGATAAAATATCAGTTTTTAATTATAGTGACTATGATCGATCGTACACACATAACCATTTTAACCGCATCTTCATTCATATATTTTATTTTAGAAATAGAAATTAGTTCAAATAGGACTAAAACTATGGCAAAAACCTAAAATAGGGCTTGATATGTTTTTATTCCAAAATAGGACCATATGAGTCCTATTGGAAACATACCTATTTTTGCATTCCATTCTTACCCTTCCATTAAATATGAATTAAAAATAGTCAAAAGTCATAATTAAAGTTTAATTCATAATAAATTCGAGAAAAATTCAAAAATTCGTAGAAATATAATTAAAAAATTTATAAAATTTTTATAAAATAAAAAATTCAAATTTTTTTTTTTAAAATAATTTTATTTTTAAAAAAATTAATAAAAAATAGTAAAACTCCGTTAAAAATTTTTTAAAAAATATGGATGTCTTTCCCACTGCCTGTACTACCTCCCAGCACCACCACCTCCGGCCGATGAAAAAAATGCCATTTTCCCAGAAAAATGCCATTTTTTTCTGAAAATGCCAAAAAAGTGGCATATTTCTCTTTTCGAATGCCAACATTTTCATTTTTTTCTGCCATAAATATGGCATTCGTAATGAACTTGGCATTTTTTTCCCCCGGTGACTGGAAGTGGTGGTGCTGAGGCGGCAGAGGCGGCGACGATTTTTTTTTTGAGTTTTTATTTTTTTTTAATTTTTTTTTTAATTTTTTTAATTTTTTGAAAAAAAAAATTAAATTTTTTATATCGAAATGTTTTTCTTAATTTTTTAGTATTTTTTACGAATTTTTTATTATTTTTTATTATTTTATTAGGAATTGAAACATTTTAATAGCTATAAGGGTATAATTGTCCAAGGTACACATAATTAGTCCTATGCAAACATAGTTCTTTTTTTGGTCCTATTTGTGAAAAGTGAATGACTCTTAGTCCTATTTTGATAATTAACTCTTTTAGAAAACTTCTCAGTCTCCTTTCAGAATTTCAGTTTTTATATTTCTTCAATACTACTGTACGCATCAACAATAATGTCCAAGCGTTACACTGCCAAGACGATAATAATTGACATTGTAAATATATAAAGGAAAAAATAATAAAAATATACCAAACTTTGAAGGGGTATGAGCTAAACAACCTAAACTTGCACATGTCATTTTAATACCTCAAACTTTATATAAAAAGTTACTTTTGCACTATTGTCATGTATTATATCTTTCAAAAATGTAAATTTATGAGGTTAATTGCAAATTTAAAATGCAATTAACACCATAAATTACATTTTTTTAAAAAGTACTCCCTCCGTTCTTTTTTAGTTGCAACGGTCAACATTTTACATTTGCCAACACACGTCTTTGACCGTGATTATATCTTAATTGTATTAGTAAAAAAATATTAAAAATCAGATTTTGAAAATTTGTAATGAAATGAATTGAACAATATTTTTTTAAAAAAATAATTTTCATAAAATAATAGTGTAAAATGTAGTCAAAGTATAGCATGGGAATAGTGTAAAATTCAACATGTTTCGATTAAAACGGAACGGAAGATAGTAATACTTAACTATGGTGCTCATCTCACACCCCTTCAAAGTTTAGGATATTTTAATTATGTTTTCGTATATAAATAAATGGACTATACAAATTTCGTTAAAATCAAATGACCGTATAAGTTTTGATTGACCAGTCGTCTACGATGGCGTATCTACACCAATGAGAGATTATCATCATCTTAATTGATGAGTCAACAATGTAATTGCTCAACCACCCATACTAATTAGTATTCCTATTGTCGCTCGTAGTTCCAACCAACACCACAATTAATATTTACCAGTATCACCATTATTACAATATTTAATTATTGATAACATTAATTTTATGGTTAAAATTTATACACATGAGATAAAAAATGTTACTTTCATCTCGAAAAGACGTTTCCACTTTCCTTTTATGGATGTCCTAAGAAGTAGTTCTCATTTCGATAAAAGGAAACTACTTTCAACCCAAATACCACAACTACCTTTACTTTTTACCCACTTTTTGTTTGACTTGACTATAAAGTAAGGGGCATACTTGGAAAGGAAAAATAGATTTCTACCTTACATAAATATGTGTGTAGGTCAAATCGGGAACTTCATTTTGGGGCGGAGAAAGTATGATTTAATGTTCTCTTTACAAAACATATGCAAACTTGACCCTTTTTTAACAACCATTAAGGAAGCAGTTTCAGCTCACTTTACCTCAGGTGCCCTAGCCCCCTGAACCCCTTGGGGTAAAAAAAAAGTTCCCATTTTAAGATGAGTTCTCATTAGAAACTTTCCCTATATATACAAATAAACATGCATGCATGTGTGTGTATGTGTGTATGTGTGTGCATGTGTGTGCATGTGTGTGCATGTGTGTGTGTGTGTATGTATGTATGTGTGTGTGTGTGTGTATGTATGTATGTATGTGTGTGTGTATGTATGTACGTGTGTGTGTATGTATGTATGTATGTATGTATGTATGTATGACACCCTAAAAATTCAAATTTACAAATAATAATTGATAAAATATAATAGTACTATTAAAATCATATGGAAAAAAAGAAGAAGAAAAAATCAAACTAATATAACTATTAATAATAATAATAATAACATAACATAAAGGGTAATGGGTAAATCAATAGTAATAATAATAGTTCCTAAACTATATCATACACATACGTTACATACATGGTGTATATATATACATAATACATACATAACACATGTATGCACAAGTACTATCTGGAGTTATTTGATTAAGTAGTATTTTAGTTATGGGAACGTAACCTCTCTTTAAGAAGGGTAGAATGTAATACTTAAGAATTTGGTTATTTGATTTTAGTAATGTTTCGGGGCGAAACATCTTCTAAGGAGGGTAGAATGTGACACCCTAAAATTTTAAAATGGAAACATAAAGTTAAAATAAAATAAAATAAAAGAAATATAAAATAGCTGATAAAAAAACTAGATATAAATTATCTGATAAAATAAATAAAACAAATAAAACTTCTTAAAGTAAATAATAAAGATAATTAGTGCATAGCTACCTTACGTACTTTATATATGATATACGTAATTACTTATATACATACATAATATAAAGTACAACATACATAATACATGCATATACATCGGCGCATGCATATATGCACATCATACGCATGGCTATATAACGTACGACGTATATATAATACCCATGGCTGCGTAACGCATACGTTAGAAGGAACTGGTTTATTGGCAATAATGGCCAAAGATTCTTGCCATATGAGCGTCGAACTAAAACCATCCTCCTAGGTTATTTATACCCTTCGATCGACGACCTTCACTGCACCAATACGAGCCAAGGCATGTGTTGCAAAGAGAGAAAAGAAATGAGGGAAGGAAGAAAGAAAAAGAGAGTGTACGTAGTCAGAGAGGGCAGTAGGAGTACCAGGCTGACCTAAGCCGGAGGATAGAACGTCGCCGCCACCGAAGGAGCTGAAACGGAGCTCGCCGGAGAAGTAACCCAGCTGCTACACCGGACCGTCGGACTGCTGAAACGGAAAATGTGTTGGCCGAGCCTTGTCTCCAGGTCTTTGTGTCGTCTGCAGCGTGGGATAGACGTCGTCGGAATGCCTTCATGACTTCGCCGGAGGACAACCCAAGTCGTTGCCGCCGGACCACAGTGCTGCTCACGAACCGGAGGAAAAGGAAGTTTGCCGGAGGAAGGGGAGAAGCCGAAGTTACTGCCGCCAAACCACAAACGCCGCTGCTGGATATCCTCCATCGACGGCAACCTGCTGAGGAAGAAGACGACCGACTCTCCCAGTGTACGTAGCATTATACTCCGTATGACGTTTATTATTTGGGCTGAACTAATAATAAAAATAACCAACTACTATAACTGGACCGTATAAGCTTTACCTATTGGACTGTTTTGGTTGGACCGAGAGGTATTAAAAAATTAACAATTAAACAATGGACTTATAATGATTAATTATTATTGAAACAATAGAATTATAAAAAGAGGAATTTATAAATAAAGGGTAGATAAAATTAACTAGTATGAATTGGAAGATATTGTTTGTTGAATTTTAATAAAAGGTGAAAATCGAGTAAAATAATTATTAAAGAGTAAGTGACTAATTATATCATCTTAATTAAAAAGGTGCTTATTTAGAGACCGGAGTAGACGAAGAGAATTAGGAGCACCCGGACTAGAGGTAAGTTTCTCTGCCAATCTAAAATTGTTTCCTCGTATTATATGCTTATTATGCATTATGTGAATAAGTGTGAATTGTCGAATTTTGTGTATGTGATTTTTGAAGAGATATTATATATATGGTAGTTGAGAAATATAAATTAAGTACTTTTGGGGTATTAAATATTTTTAAATACCTTCAAGACTTTTTAGAGAAATTGAGAAGTATTTTTGAAGTATTATTTATTGAAGATAAAATTTACATTTTCATAGCAAGTGAGCATCTCGGGAGTAATCTGAGGTGTCGGTTTTCCGCGTCCGGATAAATGTGGAGGGTGATTAGGTTTGCTACTACTAAGAAGTACAGTTTGAGTTTAAAGTGATA